GTTAGGGCTAGGGCTAGTAGGTTGCTTTTTTGTTTTGTTGATGGTTTCCTTCACTATACAAAAGCTTTTTATTTTGAGGTAGTTCCAATAGTTGATGTTTGCTTTTGTTTCCCTTCCTTGAGAAGACATATCTAGAAAAATGTTGCTAAGGCCAATGTCAAAGAAATTACTGCCTATGTTTTGTTTGTTTTTTTTTAATAGTTTTATGGTTTCAGGTCTAGATTTAGATCTTTAATCCATTTTGAGTTTAGTTTTGTTTGTGGTGTTAGAAAGTGGTCCGGTTTAATTCTTTTGCATATGGCTGTTCAGTTTTCCCAGCACCATTTATTGAAGAGACCATCTTTTCCCTGCTGCATATTCTTCCCTCCTTTGTTCTAGATTGATTAACCATAAAAATGTAGGTTTATTTCTTGGCTCTCTACTCTGTTCTATTGATCTGTGGGTCTGTTTTTGTGCCAGAACCATACTGTTTGGATTACTATAGCTTTGTAGTATATCTTGAAATCTAGGATTATGATACCTCTAGCTTTGTTCTTCTCTCTCAAGATAGCTTTGGATATTCAAGTTCTTTTGTGGTTCCATGCAAACTTTAGGATTATTTGTTTCAGTTCTGTGAAAAAAATGCTTTTGGTATTTTGATAGGGATTGCGCTGAATCTGTAGATTGCTTTGGGTAGTATGGACATTTTAACAGTATCAATTCTTCCAACCCATGAGCATGGAGTATCTTTCCATTTGTGTTGTCTTCAATTTCTTTCATCAGTGTTTTATACTTTCCAGAGATTAGGTCTTTCACCTCCTTGATTAAGTTAATTTCTTGGCATTGTACTTTTGTTTGGTGGAATTGTGAATGATTCTTAATTTCTCTTGCTCCTACTTTCTGTCTCTTTAAATTTATTCAGTGGGACTAGTTTTTCTCTGTCCCTGAATGAAAACACAGTTCCCAAGACTACTTTGGTTACTTTTAAGCAATAATTACTCAGTCACTTTAAGTTGTAATAGATACTTTCCATCCAGTAATTAAAATGTTCAGTCCAATATGATAGACTTTAGACTTGACTGACAGTTGAAACTTCTCCCTCCCCCAGCGTGGGCCAGGAGCAGATGGGAAGGCTTTGGCTAGGGAAGGGGGCTGCAGTCCTCTGCTCCATTCTCTTCTCCTCCTCATCTCTTTCTCTGCCAGTCCACTGAGACAGGCTTCTGACTCTCGGGCCTGGCACAGCAAAAGTGAGGAGGATTAAGAGGGAATAGGGGTGTTCTTATTTGACTGATACAAGTACCAGTTTTCTGGGTTTGGGAGATGTTCCAGCCAGCTTTCTTCCATAGAGACTTTTTGGATTCTTTGGAGATTTCCTGTCCCTGGGGCTCTCTCAGCTGCAGTGCTCTTTACATGGTCAAATGCATCTCTGCTCTGGCTGGTTATTTGCTAAGTCTTCCTTTGTCCTGTGACATTAAGCAGCCACTTCCAGCTTCTTTCTGCTGAGGGCCCCACAATTTTCTATGTAGCCGTCTTGGACACCAAGGACACTAGCCTTCACTTCCCAGGGCTCAGACCTTAACCCATGGTGTCATCTGAGCCCTCTGAGTTTTCCAGGAAACCCTTCTCATCTGACTTGGGAGTGGTATCTCTCACCTTCTTTCCCTTGGGGGAGGAGGGGGGCATGGATGGATTCATGTGAAAATTCTCTCTTTCAAAAAACAAAAAGTCTTTAGAATTTCTCTTTTACATGATTCAGTGTACTTACCAATGCCTGTAGAGAGTCAACTTTACTGTATCCAAATAAAAAATAAAATCAACCAAAATATCAAGAGTTCTCGGGGTAGAATGTAGACCATGACATATGAATTTAACTTAATACGAATATATGACATAACCTCACTGAAGGGGAAAGAGAGAAAAGGACCTGACCTAAGTACTTTGGAAAACAGCTTTGTGACTAAATACTGTGAGCTGAAGACAAAAATAACTGTACATAAGCACCATGCTCTAGTTGGCAAGTTTGTCTGTCACAGGAGTACTAGTTAGCAATTCTGACAATACATATGAGGATTGATTATAAGAGGGCCCAGGATCAGTGACACCCCAGTAGCAATGAGCATACCTACTACCCAGATATTGGTTTCTAAATACCATTTTCCAAGGTATTGACTGATTTTAGAGCTTAGATAAGGAAAATAGTTTGGCATAATCTTACAGAGCCAGAAAGTGAAAATGTTCTCCAGGAAACAAAAAAAGGTAGGGTGTGTCAAAATTACCCAGGGCCAACATGAAAGACCTCCTAGTGGCCAAAGCTGCAATGATTTGAACAACAGAATAAATAATGATCATACTAGATTATAACCTCAAGAGCAAAGTAAATATCCATGAGTCCACTGATAAATGATTGAATAAATGGGAGGAGTGCACAAAGGAATAAATCTTTACAAAAGAATCCCGAATAATATTTGTAGATATGTCCTGCTTAACTTCCCTCCCCTTGAGAGTGGGCTGGGCTTAGTGACTCACTCCCAAAGAATATAGAATATATTCTGTAGAATATAGAATAGTAACATGCCAATGGAGAAACCTAGCAGATATCAGCCTCTTTAACCACGTAATCAAGGTTAACTTCATCAGTGATGTCATGTTGTTCTTCATGTTCCCCAGTGTGGTTCTATGGAAAGTGCAGTTCACCTCCATGGTGTTCTTCCCCCAAACCCAAAAACAGCAGTCTAATTATGAGAAAACATGAGGGACATTGTACAGTGTGAGGGACAATTTACCAAATACCTGACCATGAATCTTCAAAAGTGTCAAGGTCATGGGAAACAAAGAAGGACTAAGAAACTGTCATAGACCGATGGAGACATGACAACTAAATGCAACGGGGCATCCTGGATTGGATCCTGGAAGAGAAAATAAAGGACATTGGTGGAAAATGGTAAAATCCAAATAAAGACTGTAGTTTAGTTAATAGTATAGTACCAATGCTAATTTCTGAATTTTCACAAATGTACTGTGGTTATGTAAGATGTTAGGGGAAGGTGGGTGAGGTATACACAGGAACTCTCTGTAGCATCTTTGCAAGTTTCTGTAACTCAAAAATTATTCCAAAATTATAAGTTTATTTTCTAAAACATTCTTCTAATCTCCAACTCCCAACCCTTTTATACTTTCTGTGGAACACAGGGGTGGTAAGGACAAGCCACCTAGTTTTCTAAACAGTGTTTTTGGCAAGCCCAGAATGGTGGGGTCTGGCATCTCATTTTGGAGTATAATTTTTATTATCTTTGAGCTTCAGCTATAGACTTCCATTTAAATTTCCTGTTATACTCACATATGTTTTTAAAAGTCTCTAGAACAATTTATAGAGGGGGACACCTGGCTGGCTCCGCCAGCAGAGCATGCAGCTCTTGATCTCGGGGTTTTGAGTTTGAGCCCCACATTGGGCGTACAGTTTACTTTAAAAAAGAGAGAGAGAAAAGAATTAGGATGATACACTAGATAAACCAAAACAACAGTTGCCTGTGAAGAAATAATTTTCCTTAAAGAGGAGAGACAGCCATTTCTCACAATTTATTCGTTCTATTGTACCTTCTGGAACTTGAGCCTTGTGACTGTATTACACCTTCAAATTTTTTAACTAGGGAAAAACTGCTTAGTTGTTTTACTCTTCTCTTGAATCACTATTCAGGGAGTCAGGAACTATTCCTGTAATGTTATGACTTCCTGAGAGAGATTCTTCTATGTTCTATGTTGCGTTCATTGAAAGTTTAGAAGCCATTTTTTCTTCATGATAATACAATATTGTTTGCATTTGGGTTCTCCCTTGTTTCATCTTCACACATTTCAAAAAAATGCTTGGTTTTTAGCAATGTGTCTGATAATTTGATGCTTCTTGGGTTGGGATTATTTCTACTGTTGGGTGGCTCAGTCCGGTAAGTGTCCAACTTCAGGTCAGGTCATGATCTCTTGGTTCATGACTTCAAGCCTGGTGTCGGACTCTGTGCTGACAGTTTGGAGCCTGGAGCCTGCTTCGGATTCTTTGTCTCCCTCTCTGTCTGCCCCTCCCCTGCTTTCTCTCTCTCTCTCTCTCTCTCTCTCTCTCTCTCTCTCTCTGTGTCTCTATCTCTCAAAAGTAAATAAACATTAAAAAATTTTTAAGTCATTAGAATGGATATCCCTGAGCATTTTTACGTTTCAGGAAGGGACCCCAAAAAGATCAGCTTTTTCATCTACCCAAGGCAGTTACCAACCACAGCTTTATTCATATATTCATCACTCGCTATCCACTCTGTTCGTAGCAAGCCTCTCAAGCCTTATGCACCTACCTTCTCAAAGAGGACCGAATGGTAGTTTCATTGACCCAACTTCCAGTTAAACCAGCTCTTATCTCTGCCAGTTCCTTAAATGCCATTCTTGTGTTGGAGTTGGTAGTTTGTATCCAAAAAGGGCCAAGACAGGAGAATCAGAAATGTCACTCTCCAAGTGTAGCGTTCCAGTTTCTCTGGGTCCCCATCATCATTCCCCACCCAGAGCATCAGCTAATTACTGTAGCAGAGCATACAGAAAGAGCTTGCTTTCTTTTCATTTTTCTTTTCTTTTCTTTCTTTCTTTCTTTCTTTCTTTCTTTCTTTCTTTCTTTCTTTCTTTCTTTCTTTCTATGTTTCTATGTTTCTATGTTTATTTATTTTGAGGGAGAGAGAGAAAGCCAGCAGGGGAGGGGAAGATAGAGAGAATTCTAAGCAGGCTCCATGCTGTCAGTGCAGAGCCTGATGGGGGGCTCAATTGTATGAACCCCGAGATCATGCCCTGAGTTGAAATCCAGAGTCGGACACTTAACCATCTGAGCCACCCAGGTGCCCCTTGCCTGGCTTTCCAAGGTGTATTCTGCAAACAGGATGCTAAACTTCTTTTTATTACTGCAGATCTTATGCTTTCTTGGTTGTTGAAATTTTTAAATAAGCATTTTTTTAAGTTAACTAATTAAATATCTTTGCCGTTTCTTCTTTTCTTTTTAGCAAGTCTTTCCCCTTGTTTAACAGATGCGTCCCTCAAACACCGGAGTGCTATTCCTTGTTTGCATCTGTTTTGATAAATGATGTTGACACCCTCCATCAAATTCTAAGTGGAATAATGTCAGGAAGAGACACAATCCTTGGTCTGTGTATCCTCGCATTAGGTAACTTTAAATTGCTTTTCTTTCAGTGACTCTGCCAAAGTTTCTAGCACTTGCGTATGTTGTACGATGAGAATTAGCCTCTTAAAGATAAAAGTTCACATGTTTTCTTTATAAAGATTTTCAGTGTTTCAGGTTCAAGTGGGAGAGGGGACAATAAAATTAGGGAGACACCAGCTGGCTCTCTGCCAAGAGGCCTCACCGAGTGTGGGTTGTCTTAACATAGTGGCCATGTTCTGGTACCTGGTCCTCAGCTCTGCATAAGGATGGATGTGTAAAGCATATTGCCAATTTGCTAACTGGCCACGAAAAGTACAACTGTCAGGGGGACCAGAAAGCCATGTCTTCTGGCCAGAATGCCCTCTCCCCATAGGCAAGCCAGATTAGAAGGCCGCATGGGAGCAAGAGAAGGAGGCGTGTGTATCTGTGTTGAATAGCATCAGAAGGCAATGGCCTGAGGTAGCCAACCGCCTGCTTTGGGTTATAGGCAGGTCAAGGCCTTGAGCTGTGACATGCCTCTTCTGGGCATTTCTGGAAGCAGCTACCCACTCTTGACCCTTTAACTTCCCATTTCAACTTGATGAGCCCCTTTAAGAGTTGACTTTCTCTTTGAACAAGTTGATACATTCTGCTGTGTGGGCAGTCGTAGTGGCCTGCTATCTACCCCTTCTCCAGTGGCTGCTTCCCAACCTTTTTGTTGAAAGGAATTCTTTGATCGGCCATGATTTTGCCAGTTTACTCATCAGATTTTCCCTAATTTCCTTACCAAAATGTTACTAATTCCTAAATACTTGGGAATACTTAACTCATCACCATTATGTAACTTCCGGACTTCTTAGGACCCAGATGTGCCAGGCATTGTGCTTACTTTACTTTACTCATTAAAGCCTTGTCAGAATCCTGTCACCATTTGTAGGAAGGGAAACTGAGGCATAGAGAGGTTAAGTGACTTGGCCAAAGTCAGACAGTGAGTAGAGTAGGTGGCAGAGCTGAGACCCAACCCAGATGTATCTGATCCTCAAATCCACATTCTTAACCACTACACCAAAGTGTAAGTAACGCTGATTTCTTTTTTTTTTTTTTTAATGTTTATTTTTGAGAGAGACAGAGCATGAGTGGGGAAGGGGCAGAGGGAGAGAGAGGGAGACACAGAATCCTAAGCAGCCTCCAGGCTCTGAGCTATCAGCACAGAGCCCCACGCGGAGCTCGAACCCATAAACTGTGAGATCATGACCTGAGCCAAAGTTGGATGTTTAACCTACTGAGCCACCCAGGCGGCCCCAAGTAATACTGATCTCTTGTTTAGGAAAAATGTAAAATTATATATAAACTCACTGCAATACTTAACATAAGGTCATAAGCTTAAGACCCCAAATACTGGAAAACAATATGTGGATTTTTTTACATATACAGCTTACATATAATTGGAACCTTAAATTTTTCATTTCTAAAGGCATTAATTTTTCATATTTAATAAAAATTCCTGAGAACATTTAAAGTTAAAACTTTATATAAGCCCAATAAGAAGTGAAAAGAGTTAAGTGTGGTAAATAATAATAATAATAATAATAATAATAATAATGGTTTATTTGGACTTAAAAAAACATTTTGGGTATTTGGGAATAAGACCTGATTTAAAAAAAAAATTAATAAAAGAAGAATTGCTAGGATTTCAGAAACTGGCTTACTGTAGCAGACTGAACTTATATATGCTTTAGAGAGTACCCTGTGTATGTCTTGTTATTTTTTTTAGTAGATGTTCAAGATATTTAGCGATTGAAGGAAATTCTCAGTCCTCCCTCCTCTGGGAGTCATTAAAGCCCTGCCATCATTACCTTCACACCTCGGTTGCTGTTGGGGTTTATATATTTTGCTTAATTTTTCAGCCTTGTCTTTGGCCATGATGTTCACCTTCTGGTTCATCACCACCCTTCTGGTTCACATTTTCATTGCACTGATTATTTCGGGACTGCTGTGTAAGTATTTCTACTTGATTGATTTCTTTTTGATTAAATGCAAAGCCTTTCCATTAAGTACAGAACTTACAAGTTGGCACTTTTAAGCTAAATGGGGCTCAGAGAGTCTCTCATCCAACCCTGTCATTTTACATATGAGAAAACTTGGGCCCAGAGAGGACAAAGGGAGTAGTTTGTGTTGCAGATATTAGCAAATTTGATGCCAATCTGTTGTCTCTGCTGCACTCGGCTGCTGCTTAGTCAGGCCTGCCAATCCAGAGTGGTCCTGGTGACCATACCATTAACAGACGACTCCAAGTCTTGTGGAAGCCTTTTAAAGAATATCTTCTGAACTTCCACATCAACCATTGATCTTGGGTCCCCACAGTTGTCATGCAAAGGCTCCAGTCTAAAAAGACTCAGGCCCTGAGCTGGGGAGGGTCCCAAAGAGCCTCTCCTGTACCTGCTGGTTCCCCTTTTGTGGCTGGAATGTGGGTCCATCCAAGAGTTATCAGGAAAGGAGGTCTGAGAGGTAGGGGCACACAGGAAGTTCAAGGCAGCAGCTATTTACCAACTGGCATGGGACATTTTAACTTTTAATAATCGATAGGACTATAGAGTCTCATTCCCCTTAATCTGCCCTCAGCAACTTAGAGCCCTACGGCTCACAGGTGCACAGCGTGCCATGCTGGAGGACAGGCACCACAGCTTGTGATGGACACTTTCTCACTTAGGACAAGTAAAGACGAACATGACCTTCCTGTAGTGGTGCTGTAGGTGGCGTTGTAGTGTTTAAACAGAGAGCAGTTGCAATATCAGAGTGTCTACCCTGTCTTGTGACCGCCAAGCTGACCTCCCAGTTCCCACAGGAGTTGTCACCAGTGGAGCTCACTGGGCAGGTCTAGACTTTGGACTCTAATGTTGTTCCCCTCACTGTCCTGTCCGTGCACTTTGCTCCCTGCTCATGCCCATGCCCAGTCTGTAGGCTGGGCTGACAAGATGCACCTGTGTTCTAGCATCACCTTCCCGTGCCTCCCAAGGGCAAGCAGCCACTGAGGGTCTGGGCGGTCCTTGGGGAGGCCACCCTGGCCCTGCCCAGCTCCTTCAGAGGGTCGGTTGTTACACATCAAGCCCCAGGCCCGTGGGACCCACTGCCGGAGCCAGGCCACCCAGTGCTGGGGGTTGGGGGAGGCGGTTATCCCACGCATATGTGCTGAGTTCCCCTGGTGTTTTGCCTTCTAGTTGTCTGTGGTGTCTTATGGTGGCTGTATTACGACTATACCCATGACCTCAGCATAGAATTGGACACAGAAAGGGAAAATATGAAGTGTTTGCTGGGGTTTGCTCTTGTATCTACAGTAATGACGGTAAGAGACGCCCTTCCAGCAGGAGGTCAAGTAGCTCGCTAGAACTCTGAAATCCAAATAATTTAACCAAAAACAACTAGAATTTGGTTTTGTTGTTGTTGTTTTTTAATCTCAGAGTATGCATTACGTAATAGTATGATGAATACACATACATGTTTAGGACTTTCTCTCTTTTATTTGCAATACCTACATAGGGATAAATCAAAACCTTCCAAAAAACAGGAAAAAAGAAAGCCTTACCTTCTTTCCAAGTCATTTCTGCCATGTCTCAGAGGTTAATTTCCTACCTGTGCTGATTCGTTTTCCTTGAATACAGTAGAGCCATTTTTACCCCCAAGCAGCTATAAGGTGGACCCTGGAGGAGGGCAGACTTACGACAGTTCCTCTTTCCTGTTTGTGAGCAGACTCCCCGTTCCAGCCAATGGATGCTCTGCTCCCTCCAGGGTGTGACAGCTCCCACTGCCCTTGAACACAGAGAGTCCTTTATTTCCAGACCTGCTGGCCACTGGGTTATTTTGGTTTTCAGAGAACCTGCCGCCACCTCTGTGAGCTCCCTAGATGAAAACAGGCACACGCGGAGTTATGGAGGCAGCAGATACTGGTTGTTGCGGGAGAGAGGTTGGCTGTTGCAAACCATTGAGGTCACTCCCCAGGTGGCACTGAATGGGCTAGAATCACAAGGCCCTGGAGGGACCGTGGAGTTGATTTTAGGCAACCACGGCCATCCTTGCTTGTGCCTTGCTTGCTAACCATTTTATGGATGAGCCACAGCTAGGTTTTCCACAAGCCCTTAAATTCTTCCAGCAAACGCAGACTCTCTCACAACTCACTTCTCTCCTGAGGAGATCCTTCAGTTCCCCTATTTGGTGGTCTTCACATTTTCTCATTTCTAGTGAGGTTTCAGGTTTGTGTTCTTCACATAAACTGTATCTCAGGAGGCAAGTGTGTGATTAAGTAAAGCTTCTGATTTGTCCTGCCTCAGGCAGGGACCAAGCCCATAACTGCTCCAGGGCCTGAAAAGGAGGCTGGAGAAAAAAGGAACCCCCTGTAACCCAGCCGGTGCCGAGCTGTTGGGCATGGAGGAGGGGGTGGGGAGCAGGGCTCCAAGCTGGGGGGGAGAGTGTACCTTCTCCCTTAGCCCTCCCCAGGGCTTCCTTTGTCTCCACACACTGAACCATTAACTGCCACCAGACACCAAAGTCAGGAGAAGTTCTCTTCACTAAGGTTGGTGAGAGGTGAGGCTGTGAAGGAAGAAAGGCTGTTTGTACCTGTGTCTGTGAGGACTGTTCAGGGGATGGTATAGAGGGTAGAAGCGAACCACAGCTCATACACCATTGCTTTGGCACACCTATCACAGCTACTTACTGAGTTCCCACCACGTGCTGGCTGCTGGGTGGGCATGTCCTCACAAGAGCCCTAGATTGTTGATTGCTGTGTACTTGAGTCCCTGTCCTACACTGGGCCATGCACTAGGCAACAGAGCTAGCAAGATACAATACACAGATAGCACCTGCCCCATGACTAGATAAATTACAGAGCAAGCAATGTCATGACCTGGCGCACAGGGAAAGATTCCAGCCTTTGCGGTCTGAGGCGGACATCCCAGCCCATGGCCCACTACCCACTGTGTGACCTCACAGAAATGTCTTGACATTAGGCTTGGCTCTCCTCATCTGTTGAATGGGAATATTCCTACAAGATTCCCCTAGGGCCATGGACTTCCCTCCTCCCTGGGGAGCATCTGCCATGGAAACTCAGCATTCCCACAGAGAGCCACCCCTCATGCTCCCTGACAGGGGACCCAGGGCTGGGAAGCTGGGCTGGCTATGGGGCAAGAGAAAACCACTTTCCACCTGCTCCTCCCCCCGCCAGCCCAGCTCGGCTCCCACAGACCCCTGCACAAGATGAGGGAAAGAGGTCAGGGAGAGAACGTCATACTGTGTCCCCTAGTCAGGTACCACTCCCTGTCCTCAGTGCTGGTATCCAAGAGGAAAGAGGAGTTAGCAGCTGCTCCCCTTCTCCCTCACTCTGCCTTTCTTACCCCACTTTTCCAGAGAAGCAAAAGAGGGAAACAACATTAGCAAGAGGGGAATAGAATCAAGAGAAAGGTCACCTCCCTCGACCCTCATCCTTCTTGCTCACGTGGGAGCCCCATCTCACTTCTTCCCTGACCTGTATGTTGGAGCCCAACAGAGACCCTGAAAGTCTCATCTAGTGAAGATTTCCCAGGGAGATCCTTGTCTGCTACCAGGACACTTGGCTGGGATATGTTCCTGTCTCCTGAGTTCCCAGAAGCTGCCTCACAAATCAACTAGAAAACATGGTTCAGGGAAGATGGGGGCTGCCTATGAATATTATTTAAGTAGTTTTATTATAAGCGCTAGCAGCAATGGAGAAAAGAGGGTAAATGGCCTTAAATGCACACCTCAGGGCATCAGCCTAGGAGCACAGGCTGAAGGGCAGCTCCCTGCAGCTTAGAGCCCAGATGAGTGAAGCCAGGACGTGGCCCCCATGGTAAGTCAGCCCTGCTGTTCAGCCCAGCCTGGCCCACACCCCCGGCACCATCCCCGGCAGGTAATGCTGATCCCTGCTGAAAGTTGACTCTACGCTTCTAGTGAGCATCCTTGCAGTGTACTTAGAGTGTGAGAGGAGTATTTTATGCATATATATAACTTGTAAAACACACATGTATTTAAATATACACATGTTAGCTTTCTACTCAGGAGCTAGAAGCCAAGTTTATTTGCCTAAAGATCATATCATTTTGCTTCATGAAAATTTTAAGTGAAACAAAAAAGGTTCCTCTTTTTTGTTGATTGTGGTAGGCATCGAGAATGCAGAGTTGGAAATTCCTGCTTAGCCTTTACCACTTACAGGGGTCCGGACATCTTCCCCAGTTCCTCCAGACACCCATGTCTGGGTCGGGAGGCTCTGCTCCCATTTTATCCCACCTTCCTTCAACTTCCTTCCACTGTACTGTAAGATCCTTTGGGCCAGGAATGCCCCAGCCCAGCTGGGGGAGAAAGGGTATCTAAGGCTAAAGGAGAAAGGGTATCTTGTCATGAACACAAGAGGGAGCTGTGGAGGTTCCCTTGGCAGAAGGCTGAGAGGCAGATACAGGAGGGGCCATGCCAGGAAGTTCCTTATCTGTAGTGATAATGACCTTGATCTTTATCCAGAAGCACAGGGGAACCATGGAGGGATTTTGAGCGAGGAGGTGACATCATTGATTCTACTCTTTACAAAGACTCCTTTAGCTGTGTGTTAGAGGAGGGAAAGGGGTAGGGGTTGGGGACCAGTGGAATTAAAGACAGAGGCTAAGGAGGTGGCTATTTGGGTGCAGATAATTGATAAGACCTGAGATAATTGATAAACTTGGGAAGAGAAGGGAGGTTAGACTGAGATATCTGTCAGGAAACTGAATGCAGGAGATGGGGATTGTGCCCTCCACTGGGCCAGTTCTTGACAGTAAGGGACGGCTCAGCTCTCAGCGAGCTTAATCTAATGAGAAAGTCAGATGAGTAAACATTTGCCGTATAAATTCTGAGTGCTACAATTCCTAAGTTTGGGATAATATGGAAGCACACAAGAGGGGAACCATCCTTACTCTTGGAGAGGCCAGAAAAATTAGGGCCACTGGAATAGGAAATATAGAAGAAGGAGAAGATTCTTCTATGAAGATAATGAACTTGGTTCAGGATGGGATGAATTTGAGACACTGTATGACGTCCACGGCCTGGTCGGTAACTGATGTGCTTACTCATCTAGCACCTAGAGAGAGGTGAGGCTGGAGGTTCTTCTTTGAAGGTTATCAGCCTCCAGGAAGGATGCTAAGACCACAAAGGAAAAGGAGTCCAAAGACTGTAGAAACAACAAGAGGTAGGAGGAGAGCCAGAAGAAAGAACAATCACAGAGGTCAAGAGAGGAGACCCTTTTAAGAAAAGAGGAATGGGCAGAGATTCACATGCCGTGCTCTAGGTTAGGTTGCGGGAGTATGGGTGGCAGGTGGAGACTAGTCAGTGCCGATGCTTGTGTGTGAAGAGCAAGAGGAGATGGCACTGACTGGGCTGGGATGTGGGGGTGAAGGGTGATTTCTTTCTTTAGTAAGAAATTTATATGGAGGGAGGCCAAAACCAGCAAAGAAGAAGGCACAGAAGGTTGCTTTGAGACATAACCACTGTCCTTTCCCTCATACTTACATCCCTTGCCTTTTGCAGTCTTCGAGCATTCTCTGAGTATCTTGCGTATTGTGGGGAGGAGGTGAGAGATAGAAGACAGTTCTCTGACCCTAGAGGACTCTCTTTGCATTTTCTCTTGTTCTCTGACAGGGACTGTGCCTCGTTCATGGTTACAGCTGCAGGATCTAGCACAGGGGCCAACACATAATAGATGCCCACTTAGGATGCGAATATTTTTCTGTTTAATTATAATAAAAGTATGAGTAGCTATCTTAAAGGAGCTGTTGGCTGACACGTCAGTAAAATATTAAGGTTTGCTTTAAGCCTTTCTCTTATTATTTTGAGTAATTTGCTCTAACCCCTTTTTCTCCAGGCAGTTCTGCTCAGCTTGATTTTTGTCTTCAGAAAGAGAATAAAATTGACAGTCGAACTTTTCCAAGTCATAAATAAAGCCATCAGCAACTCTCCATTCCTGCTGTTCCAACCACTATGGACTTTTGCCATCCTCATTTTCTTCTGGGTCCTCTGGGTGGCCGTGCTCCTGAGCCTGGGAACTGCAGGTAAGGGTAGAGGGTTCCATCGCCTTTGAGTTGTGCATGGAAGACCCTGCCATTTTGGAACCATTGACCTGTTTTGTAGGGACCAAGCCTCCGGTGGAACTGGAGGTGTCTGATGACAGCAGTGATGGTGCCAGGGGCTCGGGCGGGGGGGGGGGGGGGCCGGAAAATCCTTTTCCTTTTTTATACTGGCTTTAAAGAAGCTGAGTGTGTTTCTCGAGAGAGCAAATTCAGTAAGGACTAAAAGAGCTTTTGAAAAAACTACAACATGAACAAAAGCCTCTAGAAAGTATTAGCAGGGCACCCGGGTGGCTCGGTCGGTTGAGCATCCGATTTTAGCTCAGGTCATGATCTCTCGGTCTGTTGGTTCGAGTCCCCCATCGGGCTCACTACTGTCAGCCTGTCCGTGCAGAGCCCACTTTGGACCCTTTGTCCCTCTCTCTGTCTCTGCCTCTCCCCAGCTTATACTTTTCTCTCTCAAAAAAATAAACAGTAAAAAAAAAAAAAAAAAAGTTTACGGAAACAATACTGTCAAATGTCTCTGGATTTAAATTTTGTCCAAGATAATCTGCCAACTCCTCTCAATTCGGGCAATCAAGAAGGGCCCAGGAAAGGCCCTGTTAAGAGTCTGGCGTGCTCAGCAGAGCCAGCGTAAGTTTAAAACAAGTGCAGATGGACGTTCACATTGCTTAGGTCCTGAGAAGACAATACTGAATCCTCCACCTTCCTGTTATATCTGTACGATGGTTTTCCACCACGGGCATTCCTCAGAGTCAGCTAAGGTGCTTTATTAAAATGCAGTTGCCTGGGCCCTGTCCTCAGAGATGCTGATTCATTTGGTTTGAGGTAGGGCAAACTATATATTTTTGAAGCCCCATAACAGAGCAAAGAAATGCTATGTGAAGTACTGTCTGAAATGAGGTAAGGAGCTTTGTCAGAATATATATCACTCCCTCATGGAGAAAGTCTTGCTGTGGGGGAAAAGAAGTCACCAGAAGGAAACGATGGGCTTAGTCAAGCAGTAGGTCTGTGTTCTGGCTCAAGCTCCGCATCTCACTGTGGGCTAGTAACAAACTGTGAGGACACGCAGCTAGGCTCGCAGGCACATGTCGAGCGGCCCTGTTCTGGATCGTCTCTGACTCCCGTGTTTGATTTGGATAAGGCCCACATCCACACTACGATGGGAGTACGAAAGAGTAGGTTGCTTTCTGGGACTGTCACCAGACAGATAAGAGCCACAGCAGATGTCAAATCAATAAGGCTAATGTAACTCCTTACCGTTTTATCAAGTTTATTTGGTCCCCTGTCAGCTCTGGTCAAATATGTGAGAACTGCTGTGTCGTAGATTCTTAGGAAATTGGGGTCTCCTCTCTGTCCTCTGGAGTAGAAGGCTCATTGGAGATGGCTTCGAGATTGTCAGCAGGCTCCCTGGGAGACACAGCCCACACTTTCAGCCTCAGACGCGCTTAGGAGCAATCTCTTCTGTTGCTCTCTAGAAGCTTTCTGAAGACCTGCAGTGAACTCAGAATAATTATCCATGAAGAATCCTTGGTTAACCAGATACATGACTGTAATCAATCAGGATGAGTTTGGGAGTAACAAAAGACTAAAAAAAGCAGTGAATTAAATAAGATATAAGGTAATTTCTCTCTCATATAAATGAAGTTCGCAAGGAGGAGGCACCGTGCTAGCATGGTCCTGTAGAGGTCAAGGACCTGGGCACTATCCTTCTTCCATTTCATTTCAGCACCTTGTGGCTGACATCCTCTACCACTGGCTTCCATCTAGTAGCTGAAGCAGACACTCAGGCTCCAACCATGTCATTCCAGCCCCTAGGAAGGTGGCGGAGAGGAAGGTGAACATGCCCCCTGCCCCCGCCCCCCAATTCCCGAAGTCAGGCCCTCACTTCCACCCCCTTGGCCACATCCTAGTTACCAGGCAACACCTACCTGCAGGGGAGGGATGGGAGATGTGGTGTCATTGGGGGCAGCCATGCGCAGTGCAAAAATTAGAAGTTCTGTTGCCAAGGAAGAGGGAAGAACAAATGTTGTGGGGCAATTGGAAGTCTCAGCTGAGGGCAACACTGAACAATCCCAGTTTGCCCACATGAGGTTGTCTCAGTCCTGGTCAGAAAGGCGGGCAGTGGCCTTGGTACGTGCAGAAAACAAGCATTTGTTGGAAAGGGCCCAAATTCCTGGCTCAGGATTAAGACCTTTCTTATGTCCTCTGTGTTAAGCAGTGCAGTCCCCCTTTGTCGTACGCGCTGTTCTGCTCCAGTTATGGGTAAGGGAATTGAGGAAGGTCACGCAGCTAGGAAGTGGGAGGCTCTCTCTGGCTCCTGAGCCCTAGGAAGGGACCCGTGCTCTCTCCACCATCTCACATTTCCCATGGCTGCTGGGACACAGAATGGGCCTCCTCAGTTTTCTGTCAAGTCAAAGCAGTATTGTGACCACAGCAGCTGGCTGGCAGATGTGGCCTGTGCCCATAATGGTGTGTTTGGGGTCTGTGGTTACAGGACAACATGGCAGGGCCAGAGGTCAAAGCCAATTTGGGCTGGGAGGGAAGGGTGGCAGGGGGTGACAGGGGGTGGCACACTGGGTGTTGGACTGTAGTACGTGAACCCCTGCCCTAAAGAATCACCAGAGAAAGGGTGAGGTCGTGGGAAATATGGCTCATGACCAGGGAAGGAACTTCGTTCCTCCTCCAGCCTCTAGGGCACAGCTGCCCACCCCAGCCGTTCACAGTCGGCTGTGAGCATGGCTGAAGGAAATTGTCCCCATGTTATCCCACAGTGCTTTGGGGTGGGGCACGTTCATTTGTTCTTGCTTTAATTCGTAAGGGTTAGGGGAGCGTCTCGGGGCTGAGGCCCTGGGCAAGGCCCTAGGGAGGAATGGTGGTCTCTCCTCACAGCACTTAGAGTTGAGTAGGACACAGTGACAATTAGACATGCGCTCATGGTGAAAATCAATGAATGTCACACTAGGAAAAATTTGGGGAAGCTCCAAGAGCAGCGGAACGGGGCTCTAACCCACTTTGGGAGTCAGGGAGGGCTTCTCAGAGGATGGGCTAGAAATTGCCAGATCAGAAAATGCAGAAAGAAGCCAGAGGGGATTCGACAGGGGTCACAGGCAAGCACCAGGAGAGGACAAGGAGAGAGCCAGTCCTGGGATTGGGATGCAGCTGGAAGGGAACAAGCCCAGGGCTGCCTTGGGAGTGAGCTGCCAGCATGGTGCCCCTTCAGCTCCCCTTTAGGCCCAAGTTGGGCCCAGGACTTAGGGGGCATGAAGTAGCCTCTGCCCCAGGACTGAGAACAGGAGAGGCAGGGAGCCAGGAAGGTGATTCCGTGGGGTCGAAGGGAGTGCCTCAGGGGCCGTGTGCTGAAGTGCGGCCATTCCCTGTCAGCGGAAGGAGGAAACCAGGCAAGAGGGTGAGGAGCAGAAGGGCAGGAAAAGCTGGGTCCCCGGGGCCTGACCTAGGCCGGTGAGCTAACTGATCTTCCCTTTACAGGAGAGAAGGGATCACACAGAGCTGTAGCCTTCCCTCCGCCCTGGGCTCGGGCAAAGTAAAAAACAAAACAAAACAAAACACAAACAGACTGCTGTCCCCTCAGGCCACCTGACTCTCCTTTCCACTCACCTGTGGGCTGAACCAGGTGCACAGAACTCCTTTGTTCTCAAAGGCCTTTTCACTCGGTGCCAAGCCACCACTCTGGGTGTGGGCGGGTCATTTCTTTGCCTCATGTCATTTTGATCTCTGGGAGATGCCCCGGCCACGCTTGTGGGAGGCTGGGGGCTGCCCTCAGAGCTTGTGAAAAGAAGCCAGGTGATATGGGTGGTCAGAGATGGCTACGCAGCACCTGACAGTCTCATTTCACGTCCCCTCGGGCAGTTACAGGATCCTCCAGTTCTTCAGTGCTGTGGCGGTGTCCACAGTGGGTAACGTCGTGTCAGATGGTTGAAGAAACTAATATTTTAATGTGTAGAAAAGAAAAAAAATACAGAAAGAGTGAACTTGGGTTGTTTTTGTCCAGATGAGCAATTTCTCCAGTGACTATAAATCAGCCTCTGAGCTAGTTGACAAATTCTGGCTTGTTTGGGGATTGTTTCAGCAGAGCACATCAAGGCCCTCCAGCAATGACATTTATTAGCCCATCGGGACTTGTCTGCTACCGACAATGTGACAACGACTGCTAAAATCCAGTGGAAGAAAGTGAAAACTGTAATAACCTTGGGAACCCAGCAGGTGCAGGTGGCAGGTTGGAAGGAGCCCACGTGGTCTCATTATGCGCCGTTGTCATTAAGGTGGTCTGGAAGCCCCAGGGTCAACCGTGGAAGAGTCCCATCTTGGGCCGGCACTTTCTCCCCCTACGTGCTGCAGTTAGGTGATCACAGGGATGGATTTGGCATGCTTGGGACAGGCAGAGGGCCGTGCTTGGAAAGGAGGTGGTGGGGTTGGACAAAGGGTGTCCCATCAAGGGACCCAGGATCTAGCTGGCTCTGGGCTTCCTTGGGCGTTAATCTTCTGTGCTTCCCTTTCCCCAGTTTTGCAATAGAAAAATGATGCTTTCCCCGGATGCTTTACAGGGATGTGAGGAGGCCGAGATGGGGCCAGAACTTTGCTTTGCAAATAAAGGACCATATATGTTCCTTATATTGGGAATTACTGTTAACTAAAGAGTACCTGGAACTAGCTTCAGCTTTACTCTCCGCTCTGCCTGGCATATTTGAGAGCACAGTTTAAAAGACAATTGTCTTCTTTTTTAAGTGATGAGAGATCTAGAAAATGATTGACATTAGTTCACAAAAGCCTCCTAGCAGCCCCCACCTGTCCTAGGAACAGGGGGAGGGAACTTGCACAAGAGACATTTGAAGCAGCTCCTGCTTTTTGGAAGTTTATAGCCCCTTTGGGAAAGTGCAAAGGAAAGCAGTCTCCATGAACATCTCCGTGCCTTTGCCCCTGCTGTGACCTTCATCTGGAAACATCTCCTCTTCCCAACTTGCCCC